CGTCACGCGTCAACCATACCCTTGGACGCTTTCCGACGATTTGGATGAAAAAAATGGGAGAATGAGACCTTATAGTACAGCTACGCCAAGGACGCTTGCGTCTCAAAGACGTTTCGAGGACTGGATTGCATTTCCGGCAGCCCTTTCCGCACAATGCAAATCGCTGGTTTCAAAGCACATGAGGGCACGACCATGGAAACGGACTCCTTCTACCAACGAGCTGACACTGCGGTGTTTCGCGAGGATGTTGAGCCACGAATCCGAAACACGACATATCAAGCGCCGATGTCATCTCTCGCTCTACAGCCTGCAACGGACACGAAGTAACGCGCAGGCGGACATACTTTTTTGACCCCAAGCGTTTGGGGCTATAAGCTATCTATCGATAAGTTATGAGTTATGAGGTCTGCTCCCTTGCGTAGGAAGCACACAGTTCTACCGACGAAAAGACAGTGATTGAGAACGAGCGATCCCATATGACCAGGGGTCCTATGTATGTGTTTGATGCGCCTTCCGCCAACCCATCGAGGAGCAGCGAAGAGGCGACGATCAGCATTGATAGTGTTTTCATAGGGTGGAGCGCGGCGGGTTCGCGAGATTCACTGCCATACGGGTACATACCGGTAGGCAAGTTGAAGAACCCGTTCCCATGCTTGCAATTGGCTCTTGCGCACGAGCCGTGGGACGAGGGCTGTAGCCGTCTTGCTAGAAGCACGGCTGCGTCTTTGCCGCTTTTCTTCGAAGGCACGGTGCCGCATCCCAGCTAAACCAAGGCGTCACATATCGCAACAACAAGTTCGATCATGCGGGCGAAGAAGGAGCATGCCCAGTAGAATGACCACCGAAGCGTTCACATGCAAGCAATCTATGCCTCGAATTGAATCAGTGGAGCTCCTCATGCACTGACATTTGTGGTTGAGCTCGAACGACTTTACCGCTGCATCGAGCTAGAACCTTACTGTAGGCTGCATGATCGGCGAGGTCGTGTTGTCGTCTCGCGAGAGACCGCTATTGTAGCCCTAACCGGGCTAGATCTGCTCAAGTGCATGTTGTGAATGCAACGTGCGATCAACACGTTTCGAACACCTGGGTTAACTCCTACTCACTAGTAGTAGGCTATTTGACGTGTATTTAAATCGCGCTAAAGAGCTGCGTGGGGCTAAAAACAAGGTAGTATGGTGCGTAAAGAAAGGACACCACTTCATGGGCAAGCACGGAGCCGCCACGAGGTGTCCGTGGACCCACTCTAAATGGGTAAAATGACGTGCCGTCGGTCAAATGCGTAAAATGGGTCAAATACGTTTTACTAGGGCGCATTGTCCAACCCTTGCAATTTGGTGGTTTTGACACCTTGCTGATCGCTGTCGCGACCACAGCGCCTTTGATTTGTCATTTCGGATCAGTTATCGCACGCAATGGGTCAAGATCGTGTAGTATCCACGAGATCCATGCTGTCTTTGCCGTCGGAAAACGTGTACAAAGAATCACGATCGCCATACCACATGCTTCAACAAGACACACATGCATGAGATCCCTGGACGCTCGCGATCTACCTTTGGCTTTCGTCGAGACGTGTCGACGATGCGAGCGACTGCACATTGCTTTGCCTCGCGCCGTCGGTCCCCGCTTTTTCATACTACCAGTACTAGAAAGGGTGCCGGCGACATTCAAGTGAATCGGTTGTCGGGACGAATCTCGGTTGCTATGGCGCGTACGCACGCGTCTTTGAGCTTTGGTTATCAAACAGTGTACATGCATGCACGACTGTTGGTCGCGTCGTCCATCACTTTTGTTTGTCCCATGTCGGGTCAAAGTGCCACGTGTTTTAACCTATAAAACGCATTTGAACGTCTTTAGGTACTTGTGTCGCGGCCCTCATAGACACGCTCGTGGGCGATCTTGGCGCCAAGAGCACGGCATCAGCGTCGTGGTCGATGCGCCAACGCCTCATTTCAGCTTTCTCCTTGCATCCCACTTAATGGCACCGATCCTTGCCGCACCTGC